TCAAGCAAATCAAGCTCTACAACATAACTTGGTCTTTGCTTAAGTACAGGTGGAAGGTGCTGAATCCACAGGCAGTGCAAATAAAGCTCCAACTGCAGGATAAACAGGAGGCAACTCCAGTGCAAAGGGAGCCAGCTCTTGGCAAAAGGAAGAAAAAGAGGCTCCACAAAGATAATACAATGCAAATAGAGCAGCTGGGAGAGTGGTTCTAGGGCATCTGGCCTTTAGTAGCACTTCAGGCAAGTAATGAGACCCCCATAAAGTATGCAGATGAGACAGAGACACTGGTTGCTGGGGCAACATGCTTCTGAGAACAGTGTGCAGGACCAGGCTGACAGGTGACTCCTACAAGACCAGAACTAGCTTCAAACCCCTTTCCCTTCTTCAGGCTTCTCCACGTACTACTATCGTGGGCAAATGACTTCAGCTTTCTGGGCTCAGGTTCTTATCTCCTAGGAAGTAGTGAAAATTCCTGTATAAAGCGTAAGCCCTTAAAAAACGTTAAGTTACTATTGTCACACAACTCCCCCTCCACTGAAGACCCTTGCTCCAGTCATTGAAGTCCAAGTACAGGAAATCTTTTTCAACGTTTATCCTACTTGGCTTGACCCCCTGCAGAATCTGAAAATGCTGACAACCTTCCCTTTCTGGGACCATGCAGGCATATAGCCAAATACTCCAAGCTAGGATCCACTCTACCACTGGCCACAGGAGGAGCGCCAGTGCTCAAGGGAAGGATAATAAAAAGATTGTTTTCCCAGATGATTAAGCTCTGAAAAGTGTTAGAAAATATTCTGTAAGATTTACACAGTGAATGGAGTCATCAGTCTTTATTAACTCAAAGTTATTTATGTAAAATAAAGTCTAAAAAGGGAACAGAAGAAAAGAAAATCTTTAGGGATAAAAATGTATTAAAACCCAGTTATAGGCATTGTGACCACAGGTTACATGTGACTATGAAGTAAATTACATTCTCAGACACACCATATTTGTCAGCTCTTCTGGACCTAACTCCCCAAATCCTCATACCAATCTCAAATCCCTGGCTTAGGTTTTTGATTTGGTTTCCAGGCCAGGGAAGTGGAGGAAGCTATGTGCTGATTCTTGGCACCACCTTGTGGTCACATCTAGATACTGCACATTCCATGCCAATCCACATGGATAGAAACTTAACATTTACACAACCCTGTTCCAGCCTCAAATCCCAGGTCTACCTCTTAATGGTGAGATTAGGGGCACGATGATCAACTTGACGTAACTATGAAGTCCACTATAGTCCACTAAAGTCCACTATAATTATGACAGCTGAAAGACATGTATGAGTAGGATCAAAGACTGGAATGAAATACAGAAAATAACAAAAAATAAAGATATCTTTTTTCATCTTATTATCATATTTTCACAATTAAAAAATAGATTCAGAAGTGCTAAAAGGTGGGTGGAGCGTGGAAAACCTTCAAATCATTTGGAGGTAGCAACTCAATTGTATAGGGCACAGAAAAGAAGATTTTAGAGAAACTGAATCTGCCAAAAATCACAGCCAGAGAAAGGAAGAGAACATAAAAATGGACTTATATACATCAAATGGTTCCCAAAGTTAACAGTACACCAGAATCACCTGAGAAAGTTTCAAATCTCACTGTCCCATAGCCCCATGCTAGATTTCCTGAATCAGCACGCCCAGCCAGTGGTGGGGCTCCCAGGTGATTCTGCAGTATCAGCCTGTGGGCTGGGAAACCTCTGCTTTCATCCACGCTCACTGTCAAGGAAACGTAGACTATTAGGTTAGCAACTTAAACCATAATGGCTGGCAAGTGGAAACAGAAGAGCTTCAGCGTGCAGGTTTAAAGTCAAATTATAAATGCGAACCAGTTGTGCCAGCAGGAGACAAAACTTCCTTACAAGTGCCTCCTCCCCTTCATGATGAAACCTGACGTATGACCCAAGTCAGCCCAAAGCAATGCTGACCACGACTGGAGAAAGAATCAAGAGTTGGTTACACTTTTTGTTTGAGTTACACATATTCAAGGCTGGCAAAGAGCTGGCATGAATACCGCTGTTTCCCCTAAACGATTCCATGCCCAGGATATACTGATAGACATCACTTATGGATTATGGCATTCTTTTCCAAGGACCTCCAACAGAGCCTCAGTCTCCCCACGAACAGACTCAAGATGGGAGGTGGCCAGTGAGGCGAGGGTTGTGACTTCACTGTCCAAATGTGGATGCTAAGAAATAAGACCTCTCTGCAGACCACAGCCACCACACCAATCTCTAATGCATTCCAATGAGATCCTAAGGTAATAATGTGCCTCCAAAGCAAAGCAAGTATATTCCTTTTCACTGATACATCTTAAGTTTTAGAGCAAATGTGGCAAGTTTTTAATCTGCATCCTAAGGTCGATATCAATATATGTGAACTACCTAGCAGACAAGACACTGCGCTTAGATTAACCCTCCCCTAAGTCTTCTCTGAAAGCCTCAGTCTATATTCTCTTTACACTGGCTAGGTCCTATTTGTGCCCACACTCCTCAGGAGATTGCAAACTCACTGGTGAAAACCCAAAAGCCAGTGTGCAGACAGGCATTCATGCTATAAGAGCAAAGACGAAGCAATGAGAATTGACCTTGTATTTAGCTGGGAAATGAATCAAGACCACTAAGGTAACAAGGACTGCTGATCTGTGATGACCTTTGAGGGGAAAGGCATAAGCATGAAATGTTCGGTCTTCTAGGCAACTCTAGGCTGTTCTGGCTACGTGGAGTGGACAGGGTAAGTGACATATAAGTGCTCCATAGGGACACAAATCACTCCAGGACTGAAAGAGTGTTATTTCTATTAAGTATTAACTTGGTTCCTGGCTCGAGCTTTCTAAAGCAGCAATATATTTTAAGAGCTAACCCTCAAAATTGAGAATCATACCCTAATGGGAACTCTGTACCACTAAAGTTCAAATTCACAGATGTTTTGTAAGATCTATATACAACTAATGTGAATAAGAATCTACAGAATACTCACTTCTAAGAAGTGGCTCATCTATTCTCATTCATTATCAGAGGTATGAAAATCAGGAACACCACTGGGGTGACAGCCTTCAGATGCGATTTAAGAGAAAAAGTTTTGTAGCAAATGTGGTAGGAAAGTACCACCAAGCATCAACTAAAACAAGGACACCTAGTCAGGACTAACCCAGTGTTAATGAAATGCCTATAAGCTGAAAGCTGGGAAAATAAAGGGAGGAGATGTCTAGGAGTCACCCACTTTCACTTCCAAGAGTTTAAGGGCATTATAATGAAAGGACTATAACCAAAACACATTTGCTAAGTTCAATAAAAAGTGCCTACCTGGGTACATATTCCTAAATTCTAACCATTAAGGAAAATTCATTTTCTATGTTAGAAACTATATGGCCTTATTCTGATCATCTACCATCAAACCATGCTAACAGATCCTAAAGATCTTTTTCTTCATTCAAGTGAATACCATTATAAATTCAATCTGTCAATAAAGATCAATCAGAAGAAACAAAACCTAAGGAATGACTAGTAGTTCTAAATGTTCTTAGTGTTCTTCTCAATCCTGAGCATTCATTTTCTTTCACATCCCTAGTCCAGCGCACCAAACATTTCAATGCGGCATTCTGCAGTTTAACATCCTTAGTACCTAGAGCATAAAATTTTAAGAGTTATAGTATTTTTGTGATAATTAGTTATTGATATTTCTGAAATTCATTAAAGAGCTTACTGTAACTTGCAAAAAACTGGCTTATGATTTGGAAATAATAAATTGTTTTACAGTCTTAACATTATTAAGAAAACTTATTGCCATAAAGTTAAGCTAAATCCACATTTAAAATTCAATCAAAATAAATTACTCTTGATCAAAAGGCTGATTTATTTAAAATATATTTAATATTGACCCACTTTAATGGGAAGAATATATTGCTCCACTTATAATCAATACACTAAGACTAACACTTTTATTAATTCTCTACAGTAGTTAAGAAAAAGACTGACATTGCTCAATGTTCAAGAGTACTGAGCAATATCTCTTAGACAACTCTACAGATATTAATTGTGCAAAATCTTAAAAGCTGCAGTGAGAAATGACAACGCTAAACCACTCCTCAACTATGTATTACTGCATACCCAACTACAATGTGAGTGGACAAGCTCTAAAGAAGGAGATTCAGGTCACAGGTCCTCAAATTATTTGTGAAGAGAACTACGCTGCCATCTTTTAAAGGGTGAGGGTATTTCTGTGGCAGTTTAGATATGGGTCATCAGCAGTTTAGAAGGAAAAATACAAGGTCAATCTTCACTCATAAAGGCCAGGTGGAAATCTACAATAAACTAGGTCCTCTCTATATTCAGAAACCAGAAAACCCTGTTGAATATGGGAGACAAGTCATCCCAGGAGCAAGAACTTAAGCTTCAGCCTTCTGTATACCTCTGGCCCAAGTCCTTCCCCTAAGCTTTACTTCTTCTTCTTCTTCTTTTTTTTTAATTTATACAAGCAATGGGTATAGTCAGAAGCGCAGGAGGGTGAGAGAATTCACCAGAGCCAGAGCGGGGAGCAGAGCAGAGCAGGCAGACTGACGAAGTACACTGCTGAGGGGAGCAGCGGGCAGCAGGAGAGGTCTGCGCGTCACGTGGGACCCTAGCCCGGCGGCCGGGGATCAAACCAGAGTTGCAGAGGCTGCGGGTAGCTTCGCAACCCAGCGTGCAACTGCTGCACCACCGGAAGCTTTACTTCTTAATCTTGCCCTTTTATCTGAATTAAGAACTAGAAGTAGTAGAAGCATTTTGGGTCCACTTCGTTGATGACCCAATGAGCTCTGCTGGTTCTAGTAGGATTAGGCTGTGGAAAGTCCAACCTTTGAATAAATGGGGAACTAACATATTAAACTGGCTCCAGGATTATTATTTATTAATAAACCTTCCACTAACACAAAGCAGTACAAACTAGTGCAATTTACGTACAATCTCTGCAGACTGACCTTAACCGCTGTTTATAATAATCTTCATCTCCGTCGTCTCGGCATCTCAATACTTTCCGACCTCCGCTTCCTCCTGCAGCTTCAGATTCTTCCTCAGAACTTGGAAAAAAGTCATCATCAATCTCCTGCACTGCAACCTTCTTCTGCCGTTTCCGGTGCTTGTGCAAGGGCTTCAGTTCATAGTCGGTGCCCTCTCCGGACAGCTCAGCGCCCGCTGCCTCCTCTGGCTCCTCCTCTGAGGGCACGTACTCGGACTCCTCACCCTGGGAGTCTTCCTCTGCCTCTGGCCTCACCTCAGACTCCAGTGGTTTCTTTCCCCTTAGCAATCCCATTTGCCCCTGGAACTGCAAAGCCCTCTTCTGGAGTTTCTTGATGTGCTTTTTCAACCGTTTGTCTGTCTTCGAGAGAACTTGGCTTCTCTTGTTTGGCTTGTTTTCACTGAATGTTGAACTCAGCTCTGAAGTGACAGAGGCCTGAGCTTTTGTAGCTGTTCTTTTAGTACAGGCTTGCTTCTTCCTTTCAAAAGACAGTTTTGCTTGATCTGCCAAGTACTTTTCAAAGCCTGATGCTTCGTTGAGCATTAGTTTTCTAGGCTTTTTCTCTTGTTTCTGAGGGATCTTAGTACCAAAAGGCGTCATCTGGCCAGTGCGGATGAGCTCCTCCCAAGCGGTCTCCTGAATAGGCATGAGCATGCTGCCAAGACAGGACGGGCCTGGCTCTGCAAGAGAGACAACATGGGTATTAGAGCAGAGCTTTCCAGGGGTACAAGGGAAGATTTCACCTAATCAAAAAATATGAATGACCAACAAGTCATTCATAAAAAAATCATTATTCATAAAAAAATCATTAATGCAAGAAAGCGTATTATATGTGAAGAAAATTTGGTATAGCAGGCATCACATCACATTTCTACTCCAATTCAAAAAGGTGATTTCTTAGTAACTTTTCCCAACATATTGTACTATAAATATATTCTCAGTGCATTCAAAGAATCTATTCACATGTGACATGGGGTTGTAAATAGATAAATTCAGCCATGTTTCCTGAAAGAAGCCCATGAGGACACACACTCCCAAATTTGCATGTCATTACTAACACCAGCATTTAGAAGACTTAAGTCCAAGAGATGATGAAACAAAGCAGTCATCCTGTTTGGTATAATTTGGTAGATTATTTTGTGTCTCAAAATGCTTTTACCATTAATTTATATGGAATAATTTTGAGCATTCCAAGGTCTGAAAAATAACCTACCAAGTATGAACACTCTACTTCTGGATAACAGGGGAAGCTGATAACAGAGAACACAAGGTATATTTTCATCACTGCAAAAAGGTCTATTGGACAGCAGTGTTAGATGTGTGAAGTAATCTGAAGAGATGAACTAAAATTGCAAGTTATGCCCTAACATAAAGTCACCCAAAAATCACCCCTCATTAACTAGCTGAAATTAAACTCTAGCAAAATTACTTTGTGTATTACCAAAATATAGCCAAGAAATATGGTTCAACAGGAAGGAATCCATATAGTAAAATCTGCACTTCTTGTAAGCCAATACTGGAGCCAGTTTGTCATTAAACCTTCACTAAGGAAAAATACACAAAGAAATGCACAAATCCTATGTGTAGAGCTCCATGAATTAAAACAAAAATCAAAAAAAAAAAAAAACCCATATCCATACAGAGCACACAAATCAAAGAACAAAAATCTCTAGCACCCCCAGTGTGCCCTTATGGTGCCATCAAGCCTTACTCCATCCCAAGAAGACTGACCTGACTATATAACACTATAGACAAGTTATGTAAATGACTTGTGTAAATGAAAATGTCTGAACTCTTGATGTGTTTTTTTTGTTCAACACTGTAAGAGTCACACTTACTTTTGAATATATTTGCAGTTGTTCATTATCACTACTGTTAGTACTCTATTATACGACTATAATTTTGCCATCCCACTGCTAATGGACATCTGGGCAGTCTCCAGGTTTGGGCTACTAGGAATAATGTTGCTATAAACACTCTGGTACACATCTTTCGACAATATATGTATTGTAAATTTGGGGGTATGTTAAACTTAAGTAGATATGCCGAACAGTTTTCCAAAGTGGTCCTATGAATTTTAAGTTCCACTGTTCTCAACAGTGTTTGAGAGTTTCAACTAGTCTATGTTCTTGCCCCTTCATTTTAGCTATCCTGGTAGGTATATAGAGATAACACTTTGTGGCTATAATTTCTATTTCCTGAATGATTAGTGAACTAAGGTAACTTATCACAGGCGTACTGATCTTTTGGAGAACCTTTTTTTTAGTAAATATTCAAGTCTTTTGCCCTTTAGAAATTTTTTTTTCTAACAGCATTTTATAGATTCTAGATTCAAGCCTTTGATTAACACAGGTATTGCAAACATGTCCTCCCTTTGCAAAGTGTCATTTCATTCTCTTAATGCTATCTTTGAAGAACAGAAGTTTTTAGTTTTAATGTAGTTCATTTTTATCAAACCTTTGCCTTTACAGTGAGCATTTCTGTATCTGGTTAAATCTGCCTCAATGTCATGAAAATATTTTTCTGTTATAGTCTAAAAGCTTCATTTTACCACTCACATTAACCCACCTGGAATGTATTTTTGTAAACAGTGTAATGAACCAAGATTCATTTTATTTTCAGGTGGATGAACCCGGCACCACTTACTAAAAAAAGCCTTCTTCACAGCACTATGCTGCCATATTTGTCACAAATCAAGTGACTACATATGGGTAGGCCTATGTGCTGGACCCTCTACTCTGTCCCACTGGTCTATCTGTCCATCCTTGTGCAATGCCATACATATTCCCTTCATTACTATAGCCCAATAATAGGTCTTGATATTTTATTCTTCAAGGTTGCTTGGCAACTCTTAGCCCAACCCATGTTTATATAAATTCTAAAATCAGCTAGTTATTCCATTCTCATTCTACACTTCCCACCCCATACCTGCTCCCTCAGAAAAATCCCTGAAACATATTAGAGGTGCACTGAAACTTGAGATGGAAAGAACTGACACCATTACAATATTGGATCTTGTAATCCATGACCATGGTGTTTCTCCTCATTTGAGTCTTCTTTAATTTTTCAATGACATTTTGTAGTTTTTAATGAACAATTACAGAAAACTACATTCCCTGATTAGGTTTATTTCTACATATTTTAATTTTACTACAATTGGCATCTTTATTAAATTCAGTTTTGGGTATTACTGCTAAATTCACATATTATTTCCACAGACTATCCATTCATTCTTTTGAATTTTCTACATAAACAAGCATTCTATGAATAATGGTTACACTTCTTTTAATTCTTATGCTTTTTATTTAATTCTTATGCTTTTAATTCTTATCCTTCCATCACTACACTGTCTAGTGCAATGTTGAAGAGAGAGGAGAACAAGGACCTTATCTTATCCAACCCCCTCTTCCCAGATCGATTGTCGCAAAGTTTTGTTTTTTATTTATCCTCATCCCACCTACTTCTAGGAAAGAATTCTTTATCAAATAAAAGCAATTTATGAAGTGGATCACTATGTGAAGAACAGGGGAAAGGAAATCTCTTGGCAGCATGTGAGCAAAGAACCTAAGGTCTACTTTGGTTTGCCTATCTCAGGTTCATAACAAACTTGAGGTTAAGGAACATAGCCAAGGTCAATACCTAGGCAATGCAGAGCTGCGCCAAACACAGCCTCCCCAGATAGAGCAAAGGGCACCAACAACCCAGATAGGATGAAGGAGGGAGCATGATAACAGAGACCAGGAGACTGAAGTGTTGGCAGGCACCTGGACAAAGAGATGTAATAGTAACTAGGAGCTCAGAAAATCGGTAAGGTCATAGTTCTTTATAATATACTAGATCCTACATGGTCACCAAAGTGATAGGGAGTGAATGAGATTATTTGGGAAAGAGTATAAGAGGGCTCAGCTTGAAATCCTGATAAAAAGCACATCTTTCTAATATTTTTCCATTGCCTCAATTAATTTCTCATAACTCTTTTGTCTTAGTGAATAAACTTCTGGAGCTACTAGAAATATTTGATTGAAGAACTTAAATGCTAAGAAGCCTTAATCTACTTTTCAATTAAATGACTGAGCAGCTTCCAACAATTTCTACATTCACTTACACATACACATACACTAAGATATTTACTTTCAAAGCTTATACATTTTCCCAAAAGACTTTCCAAAAGATGTCCATCCAAAGTAGTGACAAACAAAATCACAAAAATGGTATAATGTGAATGAAGATGTCTTTTTTTAAACAAATGAATCAATGTTTGGAAAGCCTGCCAATCTGTTATAGGACAGGGAGAGGGGCAGCCCAAGCCCCACAAACCTGCCTATTCTAAATGGGTTCTGCCATCCGCCGCATCAACACAAAACATATGAAACTTTAATGGGAAGGAACTTTAATACAACTAGGAAACAATACAGGTAAGGCAAAGAGTCTAGTTTCTAAATCAAGCACCCAAAGTTACCCATCCCCTCGTGGGTAAAAGTCCATCCATAATGGGAATGGCGCAGAGCAAGGCCCCAAAGCCTGCCACAAGTCTAAAGCATCTTCCAGTGGGGACCCACAGAAAAGGGTCAGAAACAACCAGACAGGCCCGGAAGGAAAAGAGCAAAATCAACATCAAGTTAAAAGCTGCCATTGTCACCTCCCCACGGGTCTCACCCATATCTGTGTCACCCAGTCCACGACCAAAAGACAAGCGCAGTTTCTTCACATATCTCTAGGCTCCATGCGCCTCCTCTAGGTCTCCTGGCTCCATCCTGCTTCCTTCCTCAGTCTCCTCTGCAGCTTCTCCTCTCCCTGCTCAGCTCCACCCTCCCTTGGGTGGGGCAGGGAATCTCCCCCTTTCCTGGGGACCACCCTGTTACAATCCCCCCTTTTAATTGCAAACAGGTTCTCCTCTTCTTGGTTCAGCTCTTTTTCAACTTTCTGGAAGAACTCCACACAAAGCCACACAATCAAACTCATGTCCAATTTTTTTGTTAAAACAGACAAAATCCCTATGGAAGTTATGCAAAAACAGACTCTAAGATAAGTAGCAAAAATTACTACCACTATTTGTTTGCCGTGTTGGTATCAAGGGGAGAGAAAATGTGACAAGTTAGCTTTGCTGGAAAAAAAATTGCAACCTTGCTGCAGATCCTGGTTACTCAAAACAAAACAAAACAAAACTTTGTGGATTCAGGACAAAATGCAGAAAAAAATTACCAGTATTATGTCAAAGAAAACTTGTAAATGTCAGGTGTATTTCCAGGTCTATTCAGTCCTTTGTAGGAAAGTTTTTTCTCTTAACAGTTCCATCCATAGGAATCTGTTGAGACCTTTTCTCCCTATATTTCCAGAAACAATTTCTGTAGATGTGAAACAATTGAATTATACAATTATACAATTAAAACAACTGAATTAATATTACAAGGTGACAATCACCATTGACAATTTACATACATACCAGATACTGAGGTTTTTGTTTTTATACACATTTTAGAGAACCACTGTTAACATTTTGTACATACCAAAGTTTTACCATTTTTCCCAAGTGACAATGCTTCCCTTCCAGTGTTACTTCATTAGGTAAAAGCCAAATAGAACAAATTCATCTAATGCCTTTCCAGGAGGAAAGACAGAAACTTTGTGGAGTGTCTCAGGAGCTCGACTGAGGTTCCACATAATTTCCTTGCATCAGCCA